GGCTACATATGGCAGGGAGAATGAGCAGGAAAGGGGAAGCGGAACCTCAGGCGCATCTGGAAGTTGCAACGGTCGAATGTCCGGCAGATTGGGGTCACTATTAAAACTGTTTTAAATTATGGTAGAGTTTCTTTTATATATTCATATATATATATACATATATATATATATAAAGCATACTTTATCGGAATGTCTGGGTTAAATGGGCGGCGGAGCCCCATAAACTTGATATAAACTTTGCCAAGTATATAAGAGCGAATATGTTCCTCATTTTTTTAATGTATGTAAACCTCTTTTTCTATCTAAGAAGGATAGAGAAAAACAGGAAACAAACATTATTAGGACTGTCCATGGTCTTCGATTCTCCTCTGTATCTTTTATTATTCTTTATTTTTTTTTTTTTGATTATTCAAAATGTACTTCTTTCGCTATTTTATAATATATTTTTATCATTATACTTAAAAAAAATATATTATATATCAACAAAAAAATAAATTCAATGCAAATGTACGATTAAGGATATAAAAAACTTATATACGTTCACAATAAAAGAAATTAGTAAAATTTATTAATGTAATTAAATTATACATCTATTATTGTAATGTTTATTATTTTAATCATTTTTTTTTTTTTCAAACTCTAGTGAAGCCTTTCGCTAAGATAAAATAGAAGAGTACTATTTTGAGACCAGCAAGTGGGACCGAACAGAAAAAGTGGGACCTAAGAGGGATATAATGGTAATAAAGTAGTGTAAATAAAAAAGCAAGGTGGGGGATTGGATTTTGGGGGACCTGCTTCCCGCGTGAAATCCAATTGCCTCCGCCGCCCATACGCACGCCCACACGCACACGCACACGCAATCCACTCAACTCTTAGCAGTTAGATTAACTGTCAACCAACGGGTTTTAGGAAAGTGTGCCACGTCACACCGACCGGTAAAACTTGTCCCCCTTCACCCCACCTTCCTATTTTGCCACATCAACTTAGGTTCTCCGCCTTCGCAGTTTCCACGAAAGTCAACCCTCTCTCCTTCTACTTTTGACCAGTCAACCCCTTCTTTTCTACAAACAAATATATATTTTATTAAAAATTTTATCAAATTAAATATCGTAATTTTTAAATATAAATTAATTAATTTTCAGAAATTTTAATAATAAGCGAGTAATGCAGTGTTACAAAACGGATAATATAAAACTGAGTGTGACGGCTGACCTTCTGATGGAGTAAGACATGTAGATTCATCTGGAGCATAAAATACACAGATGAGGAGATCCATATGTCAGACATTAATTATTTAATTAATTAATATATTTTAGATGACACGTGGCATAGCTATTTCCGAGACAGCTGTCTTTATGTCTCACCAGACCAAGTCTCGAACTTTGAAAACCTTCCATCCCTTTTCAACGCCACCCTTTTTCCCTTTGTGTAAACCGTGGATAACCAGCTGGCTCCTTATCATCACTCCGTGTCCAAAGTTTTCAGCTTCACTCTTCATATGCACACTCACTTATATCACTCCCATCACCCCACAACTTCTCTTCACCAATCTCTTCTGCAACTTAGTTTTCATCAGTACTTGATCTCTGAAATTCATATATATGGATGTCGTCTTTCAGTATTCGGATTCCCAGTCGGATCTTGGAATACCCATCCGCCGAGCGAGTTCTTCCGACGACGAAGTGATGTTAGCCTCGAGAAACCCGAAGAAGAGGGCGGGTCGGAAGAAGTTCCGGGAGACCCGACACCCGGTGTATCGAGGGATCCGGATGAGGAACTCCGGCAAGTGGGTCTGCGAAGTGAGGGAGCCAAACAAAAAGTTCCAGAATATGGCTCGGGACCTTTCCGACAGCCGAGATGGCGGCGCGTGCTCACGATGTGGCTGCTATTGCATTGCGCGGGCGCTCCGCTTGTCTGAACTTCGCCGACTCCTCGTGGAGACTCCCAGCGCCGGCCTCGGCCAGTCCGAAGGATATTCAGAAGGCGGCTGCAGAGGCGGCGGAGGCTTTCCGGCCGGTGGAGACAGGAGAAGTGGGAGGAGGGTGGGAGGAGGGTGCTGCGGGGGATAAAACGACGTCGGAGGAGGTGTTTTATATGGACGAGGAAGCGGTGTTTGGGATGCCGGGGCTGCTGGCGAATATGGCGGAAGCGATGTTGTTGCCGTCGCCAAATGGGTGGGGCCAGGAGGATGTGGAAGTGGATGCTGACGTGTCGTTGTGGAATTTTTCCATATAGTTTTTTTTTTTCTTGTAGGACAGTTTGAGAAGTGGTAGAAAATTAGATTCGAGGTTTTTGAGGAAGGGTTTGATTTTTGCTGCTTTTTGAAAGTGGGAAGTTTCAACAAAAAGTCAAACCCAGGTTTTGGAACGACTATTTATGGTTAAAAAAATAAAAATAAAAAGTCGTTTTGGGTACATGATTTGGTTAGTTAGTAAAATATAATGTGTGGGGGGGTTGGGGGGGGGGGTAAAATTAAAAGTACTTGAAGGATTTTAATTATTAAATACTTTTCAACACTTTCCATCTTTATTCGACCACTATGATTTTTTTATTTTTTTATTTAATTAAAATGTGTTTGGAACCAAAAAAAAAAAAAAAAATCTTATTGTATCTTTGATCAAAAGAGGTCCATGTCCTGTCGTTGGCATCGGCAGATGTGCTTCAGACAGAGACAGTGGCTGAAAACAAATCGAGGAACCAAAGAGCAAGCACGCAAACGTTGTAACATTTCTAACAAATCCTACATGAAGTCATGAACTTTTTGAAATTAAGAATTAACATATCATGTTAACAACAAGTATATGTCTGGTTGTTAGTTTTGTGTTTTTAAAATGATTTACAGCCAATCATATATATATATATATATTTTATACTGAAATCAAAGTTAAAATCTGTTTTTTTTTTATATATTTAAACACGTAATTTAAAATAATTATACATTATCTAATAAAGATACCTATAACATAAATTGACTATAACATTACGAGTTTTAAATAACTTCAGAACTATTACATTATTTTAAGGTCTCAGAGGTGTGCTAATCTCATAACTAATTATGCACACTAAGATAAACACAAAATTTTAAGAATGATTTAATCAAGGATAACACGATAGCATTAGGATTCATAAGCATCATCAAAACGAGCGTAGCTCTAAGATCTTACCTTTTGAACTTTATATGCTCTCTAAGCACCATGTTTTAATGAGATAATGTTGCAGGAACATCATTATCTCTCGATAATCAAGTTTTTAAAATTTATTAGTCAACTAAAAAGGATATGAAAGAAGAATATATTTTTCTGTTAAACTCTCATGTCTTATGTTTTAAAAAAAAAAAATTTCTATTTATCTACAACATACTTTACAAAACCAACTATATAGAAAAAAAAAAAGACTTGTTTAAAGAGTAAAACAAAAAATGGAAATGAGCACCAAATTTAAAAAAGTTCTAAAACAATATCTAAAAGTATCGTGAGAAGTAGCTCCTAATTTTATTGAAAATTAGAACTATCAAATATGATTCATTTCAAATTGCTAAGATTAAAGTAAAAAAGAAAATGAATTTAAATTTAATAGTTAATATTAAAACGTTATATAAATAATTTTTACACAGTTGAAACAAAATTGGCAACCAATAATGTAACATTCCAAAAAATAAATAAATAAATAAATAAAAAGGGATAAATCAAAGAAATTTTGTTAGAGAAAGAAGTAATAGGGGAAATAAATGGGGTTTACATTGTAGGGATTAAATAGGGAAGAGAAAAATTTGGTAATTTTTTGAAAATAATAATAATCAACGGTCTAGATCTGTTGTTGGGATCGAACGGCCCCATTACCCCCTATAACTTCCTCTTTTTTTGTCTCCTTCACAGGGGGAGGAACGCTAGAGAGAAATTCGGGAAGAGAGGAGAACCACCAGGCAGACAAGAACCGTCGGCTGAATGGGACTAAGGAGAGGAAACACAGTCTCCACGATCTATTTCCGTTTCTTGAATCCAAGAGGTAACATCATTTCACCTCTTTCCGACTTGAAGTTGAATTATAGTGTATGTAAATTCATTAACGAACAAGTATGATTTGAAATGGACGTTCCGAAGACATAAGAGAGCATGCTGTCCGTGAACTAGCAGGGAATGGATAATGCGAATACGTGTACTTGTTTGTGTTATGGACGACTGATC